AGCACTTAATTTTATATGTGCAGTTACGCTGTTGGTTGCTCTATGTAATGTGCTCTCTGCAGTATATCTAATTCATGCTCTAATTACGAAATTCCACTGGGACAGGCTATAAATTGAGAGAATACTTTGAGTGGGGAGAAGAAGAAGAAGAAGAAAGTCCACAGCGGAGCCTTTGCACGTTCTGCAAATGCCATCCAGAGAAAACGATGGTTTTGATGTGCACTATGGTCTCGGCATTCCAGTAGTTATGTAGGATTATAAGAGCCTAAACCCCCTTGACTGCAGCAGCTTACTAGCTCAGCCAGCAGCAGATGCAGACTCCAGGATTTCCTGTCTCTGCACCAGATGGGCCTGACTCTTAATCACAGAGCTGGAAATCAGGAGGTGATCGAGGAGGAATTGATGATGATTGTGGAATAACACTAACTCAATACAGGCATCTGTTCTGCCACTAACGGACCAACTGACTGACTGACTGGCTTGTTGACTGCAGTCACAGCCAGTGCTCATCTCCTCCCTCATCTCATCATCACTGATCAACACTAATCATCTTCCTCCCTCACTCCATGAGTTATACAAGAAGTCTTTCACACATTAGCACTGCGCTGTGTCATCGAGGTTCAGAGCAGAAACGAGCTAAACCCCGTCCACGCGAAATGATCAGAAAAAGAAACGGGCACTCTTATATGTCTGAAATCCCCGAAATTATTTCTTGTTTAGTTTTAGGGTTTTTGAATAATTGAATTACCTCGATAAGTTGCATGAATGTATTTTATTTATCCATTTTCTGCTCCAATTCTTGCGATTTCACTTTGTAAGAAGCCATTATGCGCCTAAACACAGCAGCGAATGCAAGAAACAAAACACATAAAGAACCTCATTTAAAGTAGGTATTTACAGTATACCACAATACACGTCCAAGGAAATACTGCTGTTTTTTTTGTTTTTTGTTTTTTTATTAACCCACTGGATTTTCTTGACCTCATTCAAATAGCTTTTGCATACTAAAAAACCAGCTGAGAAAAAAAATTACCACATGATACATAGTAATATAATATGGACTGAGGTTAATACTATATTATACCTTTAACCAAGGCGCTGGCTTTGTGCTTGTCCCACAGCTCCTAATACTTTAATTTAAATGCAAAGAATGAATTTGCTTTTACTTGCGGACACTTGAAGTAGTTTGAACACAATGATGTTAAAACCACTGCTGGCATTAATAACTTATAATAACATATTTTATGCTATTTTATTTATTTATTGCTTCTTTTGTTTGTTTGTTTGGTTGTTTGTTTGTGGTTATTTTTACAGGAGAAATCAGTCAAAAGTGTTATGTTATGTGTTTTTTTAAGCTTTTCAACACATGGACTGTTGAAAATACAAAAAAATAACCTTTTTAACTTTAATAATCATTTTAATTGTTGTATATATTTGTATAGACAGAGAAAATTATGTCAGATCTATTTGTAGTCATAAAATAATCTATTAATTGCTTCCAATTTAATTTTCTTAAAATAACCCATAAGGCCAAATTCAAAAGACCATAAAATCATTACATGATAATATCAAAAAAGCAATATGATTCTACTGAAAGTCTATTAATGATAACACTGAATTATTGCCCAGTGTTATCTCTATCAGACATGCAGACACCACCAAAGGCTCCACTCTGTCTTTGAGCACATAACTAGGAAACCGGTGACACAGCAAACTCACAAGCGTGGATTTCCCACCCTCGGAAAGGCTGGAGGTTACGGACCTATCCACACAGCGGCTAAAGAAACAGCACGGTAACAAAGAGAAACTGCTGCACTTCACAGCCTCTGAAAGCCTGGCTCGCAAACAAAGGAGGCGGCAGGTCTTTAGCGCACATTACCCATGACAGAACCCCAGCTGACACTCTTTAAACATGGGGTCATCGCCGCTAGAATGGAGGCCACAACCCCTGGGAGCGCCTGACACCCCTTTTGCCTTGACACACCGTCCCCGCTTTGGCCAAAACACTCTGGCCAGCACAGGAGTGTTGTCTACTGCAGAGGGAGGAGGGAGGGTGGAGCGAGTTTACGTGGGTGTCAGGACTCAGGCGACTGCACTCAAAAGAATGATGTGTCCAACTGAAACTGCAGTTTTTGATGCGCCGGGAGATTGAGAAACATGCTACCAAACCTGAATTCAATGCGATTTGCTCAGTGTTTACAGCACGACGGTGATACGGGTGGGTTGGGTCTTTAATGAGTGGGTCAGACAGGCCCACCAAGGACCAAAGAGTTATACCACGTCAGGATCCAGGGCTTTACAGAGGTCAGCAGACAGATGGGAATGGAAATGAGCTGGCCGTGAGCTCATTTTAATCTGGCTCGCACAGCTGATCCAGTCATTACACTCGCCTGTTTACATGCAAACACACTTTTATACCCGCTTTACATAAAGACACCTACACACAAGTGCAGATAAAGGCATGGTTACCGTGTGATGAAAGCAGTCGAGAGATTTTTTTTTTCATTTATTCATTCACTTATAAAAACAGCTCATGATCAAAACATGCAACCCTTCAGCCTTGGGCACACACTCTGGTTTACTCCAGGTTTGAGACTAATTGCATTGAGCCAGGAGAACAATGGGTTGAGAAATGGAATAAATTGGCCTCACTTGGGTGGTTTTAATATCCATTCCATTAAGGAGGGTCGACACAGTTCTCCAGAGTCTACTTTTACTCTCCACTCATTCAAATGATTGATTGCATTGGGCGTACTGCTTAGAGCTTTTTTTTTTCTTTTTCTTTTTTTAAATATATACAATATTCAAAAAGTTTTTCCCCCTCCAGTTGAAATCCTCTTTCTTGAAGATTTCCATGCTAATCAGAAAAGTTCATATTTAAATTATTACATGCAAAGTTCAGAGCAATGAAGAAAGCAATTTGTGTCTATTCCCATAAAATTTACAGAGTAATAAATATTATTATTCGTCTGAAAATTGACCTAATGGCTCCAATACGGTGACGTTTCATTGGAAATTGAGCCGCGGCTGAGAAAAAATGTTTTTGTCTGCCAGGTGAATATCCCTCCGTCTTTTATCAGAAAGCCATCTGGCCAGTGAACTGGACACAAGGGCATGAGATTGGATGGTGTAAAAAGAATGGGGGTAGGCTGGGTCAGTGTCTTTGGAGCGAGGTCACAGGTCAAGGCCCTTTGACAACACATATCAAGGCCGGGCTCACACACCCTGCATCTTCTGAATGAGAGAGTCTGCGGCGTGCTCTCTCCAATCTGCCCTCATCTGCACATTATAGGGCTAAATGACCAAATGCTGCATTTGATGCAAAACAGACACAATGACTGGCCTGGCCAATCCGGCTTCTGCTGTTTTGTGGGCAGAATACTTTTTTTTTCCCTTTCCCCATTTAGAATATGACTGGGAATACTTGCATGTACACGCACATGTTATCAATAAAAACTAGAATTTTAAATAAATAAATACATTTTAGTCGGTCCAGTAAACTGAGTACCTTCCCCTGGCGGTGTCTGCAACAACCACCATGTTCAGTGCATGAGGTGGGAGTCTAGACAGATGTTACAGGCAGAGGAGCTAACCTTCGGGGCTGCCTCTTATTAATAAAACACCCTGACATCAGAGGGAGGCTGAGACAGACCGATAACATTGTGTTTTTATTTTATGGGTAAGCTGAGCCAAACACAGTCTGTGAGCCTCAGTCCACCCTTTCAGCAGCTTGGCCTGTCAGGCTGATGTATAGGAGAGCGCTGGTGTGCAGCTCCCTGAGGACGGGGCCTGTCTGCTAACTGGGACACAACTGACAGTGAACCACAGCAAACAAACAAACACTGCCCCCTTCGTCCCTTTCAATCCATGATGAGCAGGCCCTCTGTATCTCTCGCGCACTCTCTGAAACACTGACAGTGCAGGAATCAACATTTTGTGGAAATATATAACTCACAGGTCATGCGTCAAGACCTGCTGAAACATCACAGGTGCAAGACTTAAATACCACAGACAGATATTTCTCGACTGCGGAGAGATTTCGTCAAGAGGCCATCCAATTCGTGGAAAGGTGACATAAATCAGCAGCAAAGAGCCTCAACACAACCTCCTCATTTCATGTTTCTATAAACCAGCGTCTATTCCCATTAAAGCAAGTACTGAGGTTTCCCTGTGAGACATCTCCTGGCTCCTGCTCAGACTGGAGCAGCGCCATGGTGATGCATACAGAGATGTCCACTCATTAGCAGAGTCCCACACAACAGCTGCTCTGTGACGAAGGAACAGCCACCTCGTCTCCTGGCCCTTTGTCCATACTAAACATCTCTGACCCACGCAAGGAGCCACAATGGGACACTCACACATAGACAAACATGCGCGCACACTTTTCAGATTTCTTATCCTTGTCCTGATGAGCACAAACCTCTTCTCACTCTTTCACACACACATTTCCATATTCAAGACCTCCTTAAACTCTTATCCCCCCCCTTCTCCACCTCATGGCACCATAATGCACGACCTGCCCCCTCGCTTCTCTCTCACACACTAATAAAATATATCAGGGAGACTCAATTTATCATAATGCAGCTGCCCTTGGGTAACCCTGGGGGTTGGGTGGATGAGTTTTAGGTGATGGGATGTATGCTCGGGAGCATTAAGCTGATTGTTAGTCTCACTTTTTTCCACACACAGAAGAAGTGAGTGAACCTCTAAATGAGATGGGACAGGTACAGAAAGGTGTGATGTGACATTTGATCAGCATTTTTACCCTGTTGGGGCATTTGATAAGGCTGGTAACACTTGTGAAAGATACAATCAATCAGTTAATCAAAGGAAACTTGGCAGGCCTGAGAAGAAGGAAGTCTTCTCAGATTAATGTCAATCAGCGCAGATGATGTAGTTCAGATATCAACAGATACAAACAAACAATTCACTGCAAAATTCCTCAAACACAAAAAGCCATCGTTGTAAAATCAAAAAAGGGGGAAAACACACAGACTTACTCTGCAAGATTTACTGGACCGTTTTCCCGTCAGATCAAATTTTCCTTTTAACTCTTTGAGCAGCTTCTCCAGGTGACTCTTCTCCTCTTTCCCGGTGTAGTCCGGATCTAAGAGCACATAAGCCCGCCAGTTGGCCGAATCAAAGCCCCAGTGGACTGTCCGGTTCTCTAGTCTCTTGTGACTGTGGACAACAAACTTGTGAGGTGGGTACATGAGTCTGCAGTCCATGCACTGGATGCAGGCGGCACCCGGAGAGGTGTACAGTTCCGGGACAAACAGGCCTTTACAACGACCAAAACATTCGTGATACACTTTGAAGCTTTTCTCGGTTCGCTCCAACTCCAGAGAGCCCGACTCCTTGTTGCAGTGAGGAGGGTAAGTACCGCCGTAGATGAGCGCGTTGCAAAGCCGTTCAGCATCCGTCTGAGTGATAAGCCCACAGGACGGTGCCGAGAAGGGCAAGATACCCACCACTTTGAGGATCTCTAGCTGGTCCGCCGTGCACCTGGAGCAATAGATGTGGAGATCGTCGCAGACCGAGTTGATCTGCTGGAGGGAGAAATCTCTGAGAACGCTGTTGAGAATCTGCGGTAGGCACAGTCGTTTCTCACCACCGACGACGAAGCAGGAGATAGGTTCCCGCTCCAGCACCGTCTCGCACCTCTCGGTGGAGCGGTCGGACGGGATGAAAAGTGGACCGGACATCACTGGAGGTGTCTGAGCCGGCAGGGTGAGCATCATCTCGACGGATTTGCCATCTTTCCCGAAGAGTGAGTCCTGGTGCCATCGAGCGGAGAACGCCGCCGGTCCACCGAGGGAGCGCCTGGAACTCAGATTAAACTGCTGCAGAGTTTGCTGAAGTCCAGGATGGGGCTGGAAGCTCGTGCCCTCCATGTTGTCGGTTAGAGAAGAGAGTTCAAAACTCAAAATGCGAGCTGAAATCGACTTATCGGGTCGGGCGTCCTCAGCATCCGGCTACACGCTCAATAACGCGCACTTCCATGTCACCGGAGAAGCTTCCCAGCGCGTCCATTCAGAAAACTGAGAGCTGCTGAAATCATAGGGCAGTTCCTGTAAGCACACGCAATTAAAGTCGACAACTAAGCGACTCCGAAGTCGTATTATCCAACATACAATCACCGGGTACTATGTTTCTATGCTCCTGCGGTTTTACGCACTCCTAATGTGCGCCCGAAATATGCCTCGTCTGCTCAGTCTGGCGTACATTCAGTCTGCTGTCTCCCCACTCACTCAATGTGTGAGTCGCTCTCTCTCTCTCTCTCTCTCTCTCTCTCTCTCTCGCCCTCTCTGTTTGTTTGTGTCTGGTTCAGTCATTGAATCCCAGCCAGGAATGTGACTGACTCCCCGGGCTGGCTCTTCCCTCAGCCAGCTGTTCCTCCCTCTGCTCCAGGGCAGCTGCACATTTAAAAAAAAAAAAGAAAAAGAAAAAAAGAAGGAAAAAAATCTTTCTAAACCCAGGCGAGGGTGGAGCTCTGGAAAATGTAGTTGATGCTGGGAAAGCAAACACAAACTTTACTTCAAATGCATACGCCTTGTAGGTCAGCACTGTTTCAGTCGCAGAAAGCGGTCAGCACAGATTTTAACACGATATGGAGGGATTTGTAAGTGAAAACACTAAAAACATGCAATACTCGAATGCACGCATTAAGTAACTACTGACTTATGTACATGTTTGAAGTTGGCCGTGTTGTACTGTGAGTGCTTCTGTTGTGTTTCTTTTTACGATAATTTACATAGAAATATATTAGCCTAAAAAAAATCTATAGTTTCTAAAATATGCACTTGTATACATTGCTGACCTGTAAATGCAAATGAGGCCTTCAATTAATTAAAATAAGTACACTTGAGGTTACTTATATTACGTTTTCTCCTGCATACAGGAAAGTATGTTTGCGCATACTTTAATTTCATTATGTGTTTATGTCTTTCTTACCTGTGCAGGACGCTTCTGTAATTGCAGAGTGCAAAGACCCATGAGACTGTTAATATTTAACTTCAAAACCTTAATTTAGTAGTGTTGTGATCATTATTTCGGTTATGTTGTGTTTAGACTTTGATACTTGCTGATGTGTAATGCAGTTTCCAGTGTTTGTGCAGCCAAGAATAGTGTTAAAGGTTTAGCTAACAACAGGCTACCATGATGGAAACTCGTGCACCATGAACCCCGGCAGGCGTGAAACGTCGTTGATCAACTCTTAATACAGCTAAACAAAGTAGAAAAGTCATTTTGCACCCTCATTAAAACACGAGGCAACAATTTTAAGTAAAATGCAACTGAAATATATGAAATCTAAATTTACCATTAAGGAAAATGTGCTTGGTTTAAACCGAATTTATACCAATCAAGCCAATTTCAACTGAGTAGATTCCATTATATTTAACAATTTGCATTGTTCTAATGTAAAAAAAAAAATTACCTGGAAGATTTACATGTAATTGCACTACTTTACGTTTGTATTTGGGGGTGGGGGTGAGACGCAGAAACACTACAAAAAGTGAGATCTCACTTTGTAAATCGCCCTACATAGTGACATTTTCTGTTTTTATTTACAGTAAAATTTGTAAACATGACCATGTATGAAGTGTATTAGCTTAAAATTAGAGGTCTTTTGCTTAAGCCCGGTTACCATAATGCGACTTATCCCTCTTAAGTAAGCCCAACTGAGTGCGAGTTGAGGTTACTTAATTATTAGTCAACAAGCAAGACAAGCTATTAAGTTTTACAGTTTAATGGTGTAATAATTAAATAGACTATAACAGAAATTCTCATAGATAATTTCACAGTGTAGTTTTAGTTATTTTACATCAGCAACAAATCAATTTCCTCTTCCAGTTAAATTCAGAAGTTTTCAGAAAGACTAAATGAAAGACAGATATTAATTATGAATTAAATTTAGGGGTTAAAGTGTGGTTGTTCATGAGTTTGTGAACCCTTTGCAATTTCCACGATTTCTGAGCTGATGAATCATCAAATAGGATCTGATATTCAAACAAAATCCGACTAAAATGAACATAAAACATGGTACTTTACATTTCTATTAAACACACAGTAATCAGGCATAGTGCAAACTGGAAAAAATAGTTGAACTGGCAGATTTGCCAAGTTGCAGATGCTCCTTTAGCACCAGCAACCTCCCATCAAATGATTGCTTTTGCTGGTTGTGAGACTTGGTCTGTGATGAAGAGAAATTTTGATCCCTCTAGAGAGGATCAAACTTTGCCTTTATTTATACATTCTGCAGGGAAATCCCTAAACCCACCAGTTCCAGTCTCATCATCTTAACTGGAACATTTGACTCCAAGCATATGGTGAAGTCATTAGCACAGAGGATCACTCTTACTTTTGCACTTTTTTTCAGTTTGAAGTCATAATCTCACTTAACAACTGTTTTCTCTGCTCTAAATGACAGATAGAAATGTGTATACTTTCTAAGCTACCAAGCCACCAGGACAAATGGAGAAAAATTAGCACAGTGGCTAACAATATGCTAACAGGTAAAAGAGTAGGGTTATGCTAACAGCTACGGTAGCAAGCAGCCTTAGCCCCAGAACAGTCTCTGTAAAATCATAACAGTCAAAGGTTTAATGTTTGGTTGTTGTTTTTTTGTTTTTGTTTTTTTTTTAGTTGGCAGTAAAATTGCTATAACAGTTTAGCATTAATAAAACAAAGAAAAAGGACAAAACTGTCTCATTAAACACTTAAGTGACGGTCTGATGTTGGTATTTTGCAGTTTTACATAAGAGATGGCAGTTCACATTGTTTATTACTGTTAGAGTCATGTGGTTTTGGACAGTGCAGTTTACATATATATATATATATATATATATATA